CGACGAGGAGCCGGCTTAGCGCGGCTCGGGCCGTCGCACGAGGTCCGGCAGGTTCGTGAAGCGCGCGTACTCGAAGAGAGCGACTCGTCGAGCGCGCCGATTACGCCGGACCGTCGCGACCTCCTCCTCTTCCTCCTCTTTCCCTTGTCTCTCCTCTTCTTCGTCGACGCGGGAAGCTCGCCCTCGTGCCAGCGAGGGCACGGCGACGCCACGCGGGTTTCGGCGTACAGACGGATGCGTCCGGAAGTGCGTCGGGCATGCCGCCACGCTGTACTAACTGGCGTCGTCCGGAGATCCGAAATCCTCCGTCTGCGTGGCGGCATCTCTGGCTGGAAATCGCCGCCGAGCGATTATTACAGCCGGTGCAAAAGGCGCCGGCGCTGAAGACGCGCGGGAAACACCTCCCGCGGGGAAAACCGCTTCTCTCCGCGAGACGCGGCAGGAGAGAAAGGGGGAGGAACTTGGCCGGTTCCTCGCGATTGTTCACGCTCGTAAACAGAGTCATACACGTCGCGCTTGAGAGACAAAGAGTTCACGTTTAATCGTAAAACTTTCGGAGCACCTCGCGACGCGTCCGAAAGCGGAAAGTCGCGGAAAGATGCTGCGACTGAAGTATTGCGAGAGATATACCACCGTCACGTCGTGTTTTTATTGTGACGAATTCTTGAAGGGGATTCTTCCATGCAGATTCTCCCGGGAAAACAATTCGTCGGACGGTGATATTCGCTGCAAGACTTTCCGATATTCTGTCCGGCGGGTTTACTTCTCTTCTCTCTCGCGCGATTAATCTTAGTTCGGTGTTTATAAGTCAAATTAACTCAAGCGAGAAATTGCGATCTCGTAGTTGTCAAATCTTCAATTAAAGCGTGCAAAATGCGAGTAGAATTAATACATTATCTTTCCTTACACCTGACATTTATCTATTTTAAAAACAATGTAATTGTGACAAATCCTTTTAATATATCAAAGTACACTCGAAACTGTAACATTTGTACACTGAATAAATTTATAGTTACCTTTAAGTGAGAACATATCAGAAAAATTACCGAGTCTCGCGGGCCTAACATGTCATATTACACGGAGAACAATGTCTTCGGATTGAATAAAATGTCTTCAATTGAAACAAATTCGTCTATCGAAACGCGGCAAACGGACGAACGTTTAATTCAACAAACCGGATTGTTCGGTTCCTCAGACATCGTGAGACGAAGTTCGCTCGGATTTCATCGAATTTAAGAGGAGGACATAGCTCAGCTACTGCTTGCTTCGGCGAAACCTCATTCGTCCCTCTTTCTCTCGATTAAATTTCGATATTTTGTATAGCTGAAAAATTCTCGACCGTCGCGGCGATTCCGCTCGTGGAAAATTGCCTGCAAATTTCGCTCCAAGCATCCGCCGTTATATTATAACGCGATAGGCGGCATATTCCGCGTAACGGAGAATGCAGAAGCGCACGTAGATAGCACCGGGTAATAGAGCGTAGGCGTATTTATGTGGCGTCTACCTCACGTGGACTCCGCGTCGCCATGTGTCACGTGTACGGCCTCCCATGAGAGCGGCGGCGGCGTATTCGCCAGTGATAACGAGGAACAACGCGCCATCGAGTAACGCTCCATTGAGCAACGCTCCAAACCTGGAAAAACGAAAGGTAACGATGAACAATGCGTAAGAGTGGCTCGCGTGATCGCGCTAACCCGTACTCGTTATCAACGATCCTCGCGCGCAAACGGCGATTACGTTCGCACGGTTGTCGCCGGTCGTTTGCGCCACATGCCGCCAATTTAACAGATTCGAATCGCGAATATCCCAGTTACGAGTTAATTCGGCTTTTTAATTCGGCTCCGCACACGAACTCGCTTCGAACCGATAATTAAATATCGCGACGTATTCCCGGTCGGGATTCCGCGACTCTCGCCGCGAATGGACGCGAATGACAGAGCGAATTTTCCTCCTACCGGGGAAAACAATTCGCGTAATAGAATGATGATTGAAGGAAGACGGAAACTCGCTCGGCGAGAAACGACGTCTCCGTCAACCCGAAAATGCTCGTCTGAGCGTTTACCCGCGTTAAAAAGCAAATTCGTTTGAAATAACCGAGGACATTCGACTGAGTGGAAACCTCTTGTCGGAATTTTTTTCTCCCCACGAACGAGTTTTCCTCCGTTTCCCCGACGACAGAAATTGACTTGTACGAACGAAGGTTCTTTCTTTCACCGTGAACGCGCGTAAAGGAGACCGGGGCCAAAAGTGACTTGTTACAAAGCTTATATTAATTCACTTGATAAATAAAGAAACTATACATAGCTTATTTAATCACATCGAACACATTCCTTCGTATAATTGCTGTGCAAAAAGTGTGATACATAAACCTCGGTTTCCCTTGCGTCGCGTTTATTCCAAACGCGCGCTCGATTAAGAAACGAGCTCCTTACCGCGGCAGCTTGAAAGCGGCTGGTTTCATAGTTTTACTCCACAGTCGGCCGCATTAAGTATTCGGTCTTCGGACTCTCCGGAGATTGTAACACGCGGCACTCGATCGAGTGAAGACTTAACCGAATAAAGTTACGAGCAGAGTTGATATATCCACTTGCTCGCCGAGATTTTACTGCGCTGAGCGTTCTCGCGAGGAAAAGGGAACCTTCCAGCGAACCTTGACCCTCGGCCAACCTACTTTCGTTCCGTTCCAACTTTATTTCTCTCTCTCTCTCCCTTTCTCTCTCCAAATGCTCCAATTCGGAAGGTTCCGTAGGCAAAAACGGAACCGGAGTTGCCGCATAGCAGAACGTGACACAGTGCGAGGATTAAAATAAAAAGACGCCGCCGACAACATTGCCGAGCGTTCGTTCCACGGGATGTAACACTCGGAGGGACGCGACGGGGCGTAATCGTCGGCCAGAAGCTCATCATCAGCGAGTTGTTCAAAGCGTGATCACGGCACAGTTGGCAGTCGCGAGTGCGTGCACTAGCTTACGTTGATTATTGCCAGCGATCACATTAAATCATTTATGGGCGGTACACAAAGAGAGAGGGAGAGAGAGAGAGGAAGAGAGTGAGTTAATACGCAGTTAATACTGATAATGGACGCCGTCAAAAGGCCGATTTCCCACAGTTTAATTAGCGCAAAACACTGATTGTGTTAATCCCACCGGCGGCGGCAGTCGGTGTAAAATCAATAGGAAAATGAGATCGTGAATCAGCTCCGGGTTGTAAACGACGCGGTAGACAGGCGAGAGCCGGTGGATCGTGAAAAATCGACGGGACGGAATACATTAATTTCGACACGTGATATTCGCGGGGAGAGAGATTTTCCTCGATCGAGCCGTTCTTCCCGCTCGGCATACCTGATAGATCGACGCCGGCGATGCTGCAGACGTCCAAGCCGCCGGTGCTAGTCGCGCAGCAGTGTTGCTTCGTCCCTAACGGCTTAGATCTGCACAGAATCTGCATGCAAAAAGGGAATTAAGATCGCCCGTATTATCGACCGTGGCAGGTATAATGCATCGGCGCCGGCAAAAAAAGAGAGAGAAAGAGAGAGAGTACCTGTCAGTCTTACGAGCGATAAATCAGTCGCTGAAAATAATGGCAGATTTTGCGAGCTTTATTGATTGGCCGCGCCATATAATGTCGAGACACTCCTCCTTCCTCCGCAATGGAAAAAGAGTAATAAATAATCGCGACATTATCTCGCGGCTGCAGCCGAACGCGCCGGATGACGGGAACACAAACGCCCCGTCGTATCGATGCGAAGTAGCGATTCTAATTGTAAACTCGTGCTCCCGTTAACTTTGTGCGGTGCGACACGGCAGCGAAACGGAACGCCTGGAAATGGAACGGAACTGCGGTCAATGAGGAATACAGTTCGCCGAATGCCATTTGCGTATCTGCTCGCGTAACACGAGGCGAGCGTAACTCGCTGTATCGCGTGTCGCGAGTTAAAATAACGCAGCGCGGCTGGAAACTTTTTTTATCGTCGGTACGACGGCCGATGAATTACCGGAAGTCGCACCCCGCCCTCGATTCATCAACGCGCGAGCCCGGCGCCCTTTTCGCGATGGCATCGGTTTCAAGATGACTTTTTGCGGGGGATTTTCCGCGCGAATATCCGCGGAATCGAATTCGAAATTTTTATACCGAATCTCGTTGTCTCTTTCATTCGAGCGTGCGAATCGAACTCGTGTCGAGCATAGCGCAAACGTATGTAGCTTTTCTAGACAGCCATCCGTTTACTGGTATTGATACATTATTATTAGTTGTAACGATATTATGTGGAAAGTGAAGAACTTGAATTTAATTCAAGAGTACTTTGAGGACGAGACTGATTATGAAATGAGCAACAGACTTGTTTACCGATCAATTGAATAGTTTTTTTATCCATTTATTGATCCGTTTTCGTTTAGTAAACGGATTCAGATTTTGCGCACCTTTTGTGCGCGGTAACTGCGGGAAAAGTGTTACATCTGAATTGAAATTCTATATAAGTAGTTTTACTCCTCCTTAGTTATTAGACAGAAGTTAATATAACTGTCCAGTAACTGCTCGGGAAATGAAATGAATTCCTACCGGGGAGATTTCCCGAGATTTATGTTACATGCTAATGCGATCGAGTACTTTCAACAATATTAGAAAACTTTCTTCTAAACGAGTAAAAATATTAATCATCGCGTAGCTTTAAAAAAATCTTCCGCGAACCAGAAAGAAAGCGCGAAACAAAATGTGTACTTTTCCGCGTTCTTCCCGGAAAAAGCAAATTCCGTAAAACCGTGAGACTGCGTTTCTTTCTCGTACGATTCCGGAGACGCCGCGTGGGAAATTTCACTTCGGGGCTCGCGATTCTACGCGGAACACCGCCGCGTGAGAAGCTCTTATGTTTCATGGGCAATATTCGAGCCACTAAAAAGCATGATTCGACCGCAATATCCGCTGTATGATTCTCGGAGCGCTCCGGCGCTGTTACCGAGTCCCGCTCGTATCTATGCAAAACGGTCCCCGCCGCTGACTGGATTCGATCGATCGCTTTATCGAAACGCTTTATCGGAACGTTAACACGTACATCGTTATTTTCCACCGCGCGACAACTTTCCCATTCGCGCCGGACTTTCCGCGAACTTCTGTCCGTATTCAAATTACGCGCGCGTGCGTATCGAACGTCTTTCTCTCTCTCTCTCTCTCTCTCTCTCTCTCACTCTCTCCTTGTCGTGCTTACTGAACTATAAATTTTTCGGGGAAAATTAAAGGAACGTCCCGGCTGAGGTTTTCCACCGTCGCAGCCGTCGCGCGCCGTAACTCTTTTTAATTGTAAACGCTAAGAACGCCCGCGGCGCGAAGGTCGAAAGAATAATATGCGAAAATTAATTACTTTTCGCAAACATTTCCAGGACTGGAGATCGAGTACGAGAGTAGTACGTAATTGCCGGCTCGCGTGCAATCGCTCGCCCACTCGGGCCGTTCGCAATAATCCGCGGATCGATTCCCATTTTTCACAGAGGCGGCGCAGACCGACCGTCCCGCGCGCGATGCACCCGCCGACGTGTATGTAGTATAACGACGGCGGTGGCTTTTACTTCACGTAGTGAGCAAACTCGTTTGTCGACCATCAATCCAGCCGGCGGAGCGTCGCACTGACGTTTGACCCTGACAGTAACATGTTAGGCTTACACGCTTTTTCTCGCTTACTCCCTTCCCCCTACCCCTTTCGCCCACTACATTCTGTGCAATACGCTGCGATACCACATTTTTATTATTTATTTCATTACTCAGAGATAAGTTGGATATGCGAAAAGTACAAGAAAAGAATAATATTCAAGTAAAGCAGTCTTTACAATAATGAAGTTTCTTACATATTGGCTTAGCGTGCAATGCAGAGCAATAGTTTTTTATCAAGAAAATATGTAAGACACCAAAACAATTTATTTACATGGAAAAATCTTGATATATTTATTGAAATCAGTGAAAAAAATGATAAAATTCGGCGCAAAACGTTGAAAATCTGTTAAAAGCGTTTTAAAAGAATTTTAAAAGAGAAATCTTTATATATTCATTGACATCAGCATCAAAAATACGTAAAAAAAATCCTAATAATTGATGTGTAAAACACATCTGCAACCTGGATCGCTGAGGGAACAAACGCATATTCTATCCTTAGAAAACGAACAGCTGGATATTGGCGTTCTGACATACATTTAATGTCGCTCTCGAAACTTCTAAATTTTCTTAGAAAGGAATACCAAACCCCGCTACTTCCAGTTACCTAAAAGTTCACAATCAAAGAATCGGCTGTACCTTCAAATACTTATATTGCCGGCGGGGATAATAATTTATAAAAGACCAAAAAACGCAAAGAAACCACGATTTTCACGATTTCTTCGGTAATGCAGACCTGAGAGACCTATGATGTTATTTCAAGATCGCGGGTGTTACAGGATTAACCCTGTTGAAAATTCCCAGGTGGATTTCCATGGAAATCCAATTCATGGGAATTCATATAAATCCATGTAAGATATTAAAAATCCGTATATAAAAGTCCACATTGCGGAAATCCATATTGGAATCCACATGGTTTGTGAACATTCATATAGGAATCCACATGAATTTCTATCTAGGACCCGGGTTTTCGGCGCGGATCCCCAGGGGCGACCGTGGGATTCCATATGAATTTCCATCTAGTTTCACTGAACGGGGAATCCTCCGTTAGTCGCAATATCATCCATGAATAGTTAGCGACGTATTTCAATAATTTTCCCATCGCTTTTCCTCCACTTCTCGAAACAATTTTTCACTCATCTGCACCAGCATTAACAGGCTGGGATAAACCACTAAAGCGGATGAAGAACAATGAAGAACAAATCGANGGGGGGTGCGCGCGGCGATTAAAGATTTACGGCACGCCGACGGGCTTTTCGGAATTCATGGCCTGTAAAGTCGAAGCGCGGAGATCTATGGCCGCGCGCGCGGGACGTATGGCGTCCCTTTCGTTCCAGTTGAATCCGAAAGGAGTGGCGCGGGAAGGAAGGGACGACCGCGCGCCGCCGCTGAATCCGACCGTCGCGGAATGCATCCGTACCGCCGCGTAACGCGTTCTCGCGCCGGATAAATCTCGTTTTCCACCGGGCACAGTTGGGTGTGTAGATAGGGAGAGTGAGAGGAGAGGGGGGGGGGAGTAGGTAGGTAGGTAAATGGGCGCGATAGCTTCTGTCGCGGCTTCCGGCGCTTCTCCTTCCCCGGGATCTTGCGAGTCGTTCGTCTTCATTCGTTCGCCGGCGACGGCCGACTATCGTCTTCGAGAAATTTACCGGTTTTGTCGCGCGGGGGGGGATTGATTTCGCGAAATAAAAGGAATCCGGCGCGAATCGAGAGGGAGAACGCGCTGCAGAACGCGCTGCAGAACAATTGTAGAGCGGAGAGGGGGTGAAATGTTACCCCGGGTGGAGGGGGAAGGGGGAAGGGTGATCGGTAAATAAAAGGAAGCGGCGTTCGCCGTAGCGGGAACTATCTGCCGGCTCTATCTAATCGCATAAATTTGCGGTCCTCCGCGCGAAATATCGCCCCACCCCCCGCGTCTTCTTTTCCTATTACACCGCAGCCGTTCTAATTCACTCGCGGTGCGAATCGATTATCCCATTGTACTGCACATCGGGCTGACAATGGGAATGGATATTATCTCGATAAGCTAAACGCGGAAAGATCGCGCCCGGTGATAAGTTATGCGCGGCGTGGCGATATAAAAGTTTCCAGTTTCGCTCCGCCAATATTTCTCCTCCCTCCCGTTTCTCCGTTCTTTGTTCTTTACAATCTCTCTCTCTCTCTCTCTCTCTCTCTCTCTGTCGTTGGTGATTTATAAAATCTACAGAAAGTAAAGTACCGTTCATGCGCGATTTCTGAAGCATGGAAAACACTGTGGAACGTGACCGGCGATTTGCACGGAAAATGAAACGGAAAGTACAGTCTTTCCGTCGCAGCAATTAGGACGAAATAATTGTCTCCTAGTCGGTAATTGTCTACGTCGCGTCCGCCTCTAATGGACGGTTTGAAAACACACGCACGTTAGCACTAAAAACTCGCGCGTAACCAGATTTACGCGAAGTGTTTTCACACGTGTAAAAAAGGGTTCGCTACAACCGTAATGGTCCGGCGGGCAATTCGCAAAAGCCGAGCGAGCCGGCCGTCCTTGTCGTCGGGCGCGCGATAAAAAACAAAAAAGAAACGTAAAAGCCGAATAAATCCAATTATCGTAAAATGAGTTAAGGATGTATCAGTGTAAAATAGAGGCAGGAAGCGCCCGTCGTGTCCCTTTCACACATTAGAAATCGAGTTTCCATTGTTCCGAGATACGATCAAATTCCACCCAAAATGACGACAAATTCGGCGGGGGATAAAATTTCACACATGCATCGGGAAACTCGGGCAAAATTCGATGGTGATTTTCACCCCCGTGTCAACTCGTTTCCCGGTCCTCTTGTTTTACCTTCTCCCTGAGAGGGCGCATTTTCCTTAATCGCTAAGAAATTAGCGACCGACCGGTCGGGAGACACGTTGAGCTTTACCTTACTGTAAAGGAGCTCCCTCGAAATTCGGCGGAAATGATTGTTGAGCAGCCAGTAGAGGAACGGATTCCAGAAGCTGTTGGAGAGAGCGAGCCACGTGGCCAGGAAGTCGAGGAACGGCGGTGGCTTGCTTCCGGTGCAGGCTGCAACGACTTCCTGGATCGTCCACGGCGTGACCATGACGATGAAACCCAGGCTCATCGCGGCCATTGTTCGCGAGGCCGAGGTCGACAATCGTCTCTCGTGGGCGACGAGCTGAAATATGTAAGACGTCTCTGCCGTACAGTGTCCTCACCTCGTTTACACCGGCGTTCCAGACGCGCGCTCGCGGCAGCTCTTGCGCGATAAAGAAGATAACAAACAGGCGACTGTGCTTTACTTTAAACCGCGAGGACAAGCAGAATCGCGAAGGGAAAACCGCGAGCGCGACGGCAGGAATGCGTCCCGACTTTTCGGCCGACCTCGAGATATCGTCCGGATGTCTTCCGGAATTTGCGCCGCGCCCGAGCGAGATAGCTGGATGCTGTGCGTTCACGTCATCGCGTCGGCCGACGGCGACGTAATTTCAGCTCGTTATCACGGTAGTTTGATATGCTATTATAACGACGGGCTTGCGAGATGCAACGCCGGAGTCCTCGAGTATGTCAAGACTGCGCGCTCCGCCAGTACGGCGGAGCGGATCCATTTTTAACGAGATACCCCGAGGTTTCGTTCTTCATTAAGCAACCCTCCCGGTGACGGCGGCCTCCTCGGCTAACTCTTTCGATTGATGAATTTTTCAATAGAGAGTTCAACCTGACATCTTCTCCGATTACCGTCGACCATACCTCATTCGGACGTCCATGCATAAATTAGCGCGCGAGACAGCCGGGGATTTCAATGAAAGATTAAACAAAACCGCCCCACCTTCTCTCAGTTATTCAGTTCGAAACGGTCCGCGGGGTTCCTGGCGAGCGGCCCGACTTTTGGCTGCCACCTTCGAACGTTTTTAATATCGTTACGATCTTGCAAATAACCTTATTAAAGTTCTAAGTGCGCGCAGTAAAGAAGTTTTAAGTACGTAGAGTATGCGCGCGCGCTCTCGTCTTTTACGAGCGTTATCAACGACCCGAATCTACGACGACGTGTTCGATATTCACCGGCAACGGGGGCGATTGTTCGGAAGAGTAACGCTCGCACATTATCGATATTTCCTGAAAAGCGCGGCTGATCCATCCCGAGGACCCCCGAGGTACCCAGCCGACTACTTTCACAGTGTCTCGTACGATCTTATTTCCAAGTAGGGTCACGAATCAGTCAACATTTTTCCCCTCGTTTCCCCTTCGACAATTTATCGTATTGATCTGTGCGTGCTTCCGGCGAGATTAGCTCGCTGAGAGCAGAGTTCCAGATGTAAATAGAGAGGGCCGACACAGGGATGGTCTGCTTTAATTGGCTGTCTGAATCGCATGACCATTTTTTTTTCTTAGCGACCACGACTAAAAGCATATTATGAGCGTATTAACTACCGGTAAGTTATATTATTTTTGTCGTAATTTTCGTGTACTATGAGACTCAAAATCCTTTCCTGATGTGCCGGGTTGCGACAAGAGGCTGCAAACACGATGACGTAATAATGACGCCTGCGACGTACGGTACGTTTTTGGTACGTCACTCGACGTTCTTAGTACGTCGTTGTGATTACTCGGTACTTAAACTCTAATTATTAACGTTAATCTCTTGCAACCTAACCTTTCTTCCTTAGGAAGACACGGCGAAAAGGAAACAGTGAAAAGAACAAGGAACGTAGATATATTTTAGAATGTATGTATATTTTATTTAAATATTTATTTGAACAACCGCTTCATGTAGCCTTCAACACGCAGTTCGGTATAACGCGGGTGGTCGAATTTGCTACAAGACACTACGTAAGAGTGTCGAAACTGACCTCACAGGTTCTTCCTCGCTCATGAAGTGAGTCGAACGGGGCATCGAGAGCGAAGTTAAGATACCTTTGAGAAATGAGAGCGACCGTTGCAGCTGAAAAGTCGCGTCTACGGCAGTGAGACAAGATTATATAACGAGCAGGGGGCAAGGTGCGACTTTCGCCGAGCGAGCTAAATCCCCTCGCGCCACAGTCTTGGGCGTTATAATCTCGAAGGCAGAGACGTAATGTGAAAAGATCCGGGACGAATGGCTCTTAACGTAGAAAAGGCCCGACGCGTCTCTCAGTCGACTCGTCTTTTAGGCCGGCTTGACACGGTTACGAAAGTCGCTAAGCGTTAAGCTCGTCAGCATCAAAGCCTCTCGTCGTGCGGCAGTAAAGGGATTACGAATCTGCTCGTTTAGCTGGATCCGTCCATTTCCACTCCCTTCGTCCGCTGTTCTATGCCTCCCCCTTCCCATCGCATCCTCCCCGACTTACCACCCCCTCTTCTTCCCCTCTCGTCATCCCCCGTCCGACCGGCTATCTTTCTCGCTCTCCCATCGCTGCGCTACCTTCTGCGTGTTGGCCCTCCTCGCAAATCTCGGGATTACAATGTTAATGCCCGGACAGGTGCGACCCCAAATCGGTAAGTACGGGATTCGTCAAACGTCCGGCAAAGCCGATTAAAAATCCATACGCATGTCGCAAAACAGCAGGACTCGCAACATCTCGGGCGTCTCGATATCCTGTAGGCGACGATAAGTCGGATATCGGCACGCAGCTGATGAGAGCTGATGAGAGAACTCGCTTTCGGAAAATGAATTCTCACTGGACTGTCGTCTCATTTTCAAAAAAAAAGAAAAAAACACGCGTAATAACGATGCTTGCTTACGTTCACGTACGAATTTTAATAAAAGAAAAACACTTTATTTGTGACGTCAAATGATACACCAACAGCATTATAGGTCTAACTGACCCTGCGTCGGATTTCGATAACTCCCAGACAGGCATTAATCGGCTTATCAGATCGTGTCTAACGGATAGAGCGACTCTCTAACGATTTTTCGGGAGTGGGGAGAATTCATGGTTCATGCACTTCCCTTCGCTATGGCTCTTTAAACGTAACTCATCGGGTCTGTCTGACCGATGAAACGTTAAATAATTAAAAATGGCTCTGATAAACAAACAGTACAATAAATCGGGCAACAAGAGCTTACGCCGGCTAACAATCGTTAAATTAAAATAACGAGGTGAAACCAGGTGAAGCATAAATTCTCTCATTGGATCATCGGCTGCGTTTAATATGTATATTATGTTACACTACATATGTTATATATTATCACATATAACATTATATTCGTCCAACGTACGTGGTCAATATAATTGTCAACGTTTGCTACATTCGCCACATCGTGTGTGGTCGGCTTTACAGGAATCACCGGCAGGTTCGAATTCGTCGTGGACGAGTCGCCGTGCGCGAACGACACGTCGTTTCCTCGCTTAGGAAGATTGAACGGATTAGAGCGAAGTATCGCGGGATTCGAAAAGATACCAGATAGGTGGTAGAGGGGGGGGAGAGGGGGAGAAGAAGAAGACAAGAATCCGGACGGAAATGCCGGCCGAGGCATTAGCATATCGCGCCCGGGCGACGGGTGGGAGGGCGAAGCGCGCGGGACAAACTATTCGGTCGAAGTATTAGCATTCCGGTTCGATTTATCGCCGGAACTTCAGCGAGCAGGAAATCCCGGTGTCCTCTTTAACGCGGCGCGTATCTCGCCAAGTGCTGCGCTCTTGCCGGGCTTATAACTCGTTAAACTTTCACTGTGTGTAACCGCCGCGAGAGAATCGCTCGCTCTCTCTCTCTCTCTCTCTCTCTCCTTCTGTGTGTCGCGCCCAAATGAAACTTTCGCTTCAATGGAATAAGAAGCCCCCCGCCTTCGCAAGATACCGAGACTCCGCAACGAGCGCGATATTCCGCTCGAATATTCCGAGATTCCGGGATTCTATTAATATATACGGCCCCTGCCCGCATCGAGTCGCGACACTTTCGGCTTGCGATTCGCGGGTCGCGCTAACAAGTAACGCGAAATACCCAAGTGTCCGGATACTTGGAAGCTGCCACCTACGCTAAACGTTTACTCGGGGGATTTTTCCCTATCGCGCAGACTTTCGCGTAAAGGTGATATTCTTTAATCCTGCGAGTAAGGACTCAGACACAATGAAAAGTGTAAGGAACAAGGTGTGAAATGTAGGAAATTAGGAGTAAGATATCAGGGACAAGCTGTAATTTGCTGTAAGAGAGCATAGAAGGAGACATAAAAACGTTTTAAAACGAGTCTTAAAAGATGAGCCTGCGTAGGCCTCGTAAGCTTACCGTCTTACTGTCACAGGGTTGATCTTATTTTGCGCGTACGAGAGGGGACGCGGATCTCTTGAAATAAATCTCTAGATGGACTTCGGGTCGTAAACTTGAGCGAGCCGGTCTGTACTATCCCGTTGGGTCATATGTGTAGCTGCGAAACAACAAGCACGCGAAGAGCAACTTCGATGAGCTAACCCGGTGCACCAGCCGTGTTGTTCATTTTCCGCCACACTCGTCACACACAGAGAGCTACTTTATCGATGATCTATATTACTCTCTCTCTCTCTCTCTCTCTTTCTTTCTGTCTTTCTCCCTTCTTTCTTCTCCTCGCCGCTGTACATTCCGAATTTACGAGCTTTCGCGGATATGCGAGATTATCTGTCGTCGTCGTCGCATCGTCCGCGAAAAGAAAATTGGAAGACGTTTTGAATTCCGCACGGTCAAGGAGAATAATTGATTGAAAGAGGGGAGGAGGGGGGTGTTCACTGTTCGCGCATATGTGTGATTCATAACATTATATATGACCAATCCATACACAGCAATTTCAATACGACGCACAAACAGACACGGGCAACAAAGCGACGGGGTCGTCCGTGCGATGCTTTTTATCATCTTGTTTTCTCGTGCTTTTAATTGGTACGGTGATAAAGGGCCGTACGTTAACTTGTTATGCAAATGTCGAAAAAGGGGAAGCCTCATTCCCTTTTTGCATGTCGCACTTCCGAATGAGAAGTTGCGCTTTTGTATCACCCTCCGTATAAATTTGCATATTATTGCAGCTCACGAAGCAAATATATCATCGGGGAAGAAAGAATATATACGCGGGTCAATTATAAAGTAAGTAAACCGTTAATGCGCAATTTCGCGAACAAGCGTGTTATCACATGAGATGACGAAGCACATCGGACTCGCGCGCGCGTAGCGTGTAAAATTTACATATCTCTCAACGTGTCATTCGCAGAATGCGCGAATTTACAACAATGCAGA